GTACAAGATCAACAAGCTCTTGACCGTGCTATTAAGAAATCAACGATGCTTTTCGAGAAGCGCCGCTCAGAGATTCTCGGAGAAGTTCCCAGTGATGCTCCAACCAGTGAAGGCGAAGAGGACGGCACGGACTCTTCATCCGAATCTGGGGCAGATAATGAGAGCAATATGTCCTCTTCCGAGTCAGACCTTGATGACGACGCCAATATTGACGATGATGCGACTCTTACTGCAGAAGAACTCCGATTGAAATATGCCAACCTTCCTGCTGAAGATAATGGAGATCAAATGTCTGTGTTATCTGGCTTCACGCCGTCGGTGATGAACGAAAGCGAAGCTGTTCCTGGTGACACAGATTCACACGCAACTCCTGCCGATTCCAAGCTGGATGACCTTGATTCAGTAATGATGGATGATAGCGATAACTCGACTGATATGGACGATGACATGGGCGATAGCGATGACGATGATGACGAGGAAGAGGAGAGCGAAGAGGAATCTGGCGGCGAGAGTGATGGTGGGCCTGGTCTGTTTGGATTCTTCTCGTCCAATGATCTCCCCATTGCCAGAGATAGAGAAGAAGAAGAGAACGAGGAGCAAGAAGAATTGGACGTTGCGACAAATCCAGACGAAGATATTGAATTCAAATTAGTATCCGACGGGGAAGCCGAAGAGAATGAAACAGAAGACCCCGAGGAAGTTTCCCTCAAGCCCGACGGTCTACAAGAAAGGACTCCGTCTGAAGGCACTCCAGCTGAAGTTATTGAAGCATTTGTGGTGGACCCCATGGATACCGAAGATGTCTCGACGGCTGATACCCCCATGAACGACCAACCTCTAGCGCCGGAGCTACTTGACCCCACGGAGCCCGAATCCAAACCCTCTATCGACGAAGATGAGGAAGTTGATGAAGTCATCGAACGACCTGAATTAACCGGAGACTCTATTCATGATGCTCGGCCTAATGGAGAGCTATCTAGCGAGCCTTCTCCTGGGACGTTTGCCACAAAGCCATCCGAACCCGAATCCGTCTCATCATACGAACACGCCGTGGAGAAGTCATTACAACCTAGTCACTCCCCACCGCCCGGCTTAAAAACACCGATTCCACATCTCCTTCGTGGTACACTGCGTGAATACCAACATTATGGACTGGATTGGCTTGCTGGGCTCTACAACAGCCACATCAACGGAATCCTCGCTGATGAGATGGGCCTTGGAAAAACCATTCAAACGATTGCTCTACTCGCCCATCTTGCTGTCAATCATGGCATTTGGGGTCCTCATCTTGTGGTGGTGCCTACTAGTGTCATGCTCAACTGGGAGATGGAATTCAAGAAATGGTGTCCGGGTTTCAAAATTATGACCTACTACGGCAACCAGGAAGAACGGAAACAGAAGCGCAAAGGCTGGACCGATGACAATGCCTGGAACGTTTTAATCACATCATATCAGCTCGTCTTGCAAGATCAGCAACCTCTTAAGCGGAGAAGCTGGCACTACATGATTCTTGATGAAGCTCATAACATTAAAAACTTCCGATCACAGAGATGGCAGGCCCTCCTTACCTTCAGAACCCGGGCCAGACTTCTCTTGACCGGTACCCCATTGCAGAACAACCTCACAGAGCTGTGGTCTCTTCTGTTCTTCCTCATGCCCTCCGATGGCAAAGGCGCTGGCGTCGAAGGTTTCGCTGATCTGAAAGACTTCTCGGAATGGTTCCGTCGACCAGTTGAACAAATTCTTGAACACGGAAGGGAAACTATGGACGACGAGGCCAAGCAAGTGGTCACAAAACTCCATACCGTTCTTCGCCCGTATATCCTCCGACGACTCAAGGCCGACGTTGAGAAGCAGATGCCTGGCAAATACGAGCATGTGGTCTACTGTCGACTTTCTAAGCGCCAGCGATTCCTCTACGATGGTTTCATGTCTATGGCACAGACAAAGGAGACGTTGGCTTCCGGCAACTTCTTGTCCATCATCCACTGTCTCATGCAGCTGCGCAAGGTCTGCAATCATCCCGATCTTTTCGAGACAAGACCCATCTCAACATCATTTGCGATGCCCCGGTCTGTGGCTACTGATTACACGATGAAGGAGTCCCTTGTTCGACGAAGGTTGCTTTTCGATCACCCTCTGACGAAAGTTGACCTGGACTTCCTAAATCTTGCACCTATATCTCGGGAGGATATTTCGCGCCGTTTGGCTGACGACAGCATTCGACTGATGGCCATTGGGCCGTTCAAGACCCTCCGCGAGCGCCAATACCAGCGTACCAATTGGAAGATGGGCTTCGATGGGTCGCGCATGGAAACAGTCCTGGAATCATTGGAGAATGCTTGTCGCAAGAGGAGAATGGCCGAGCTGGAGCGTTCTCTCTACTTTGAATCAAAGCGTCATGGTCGTCGACCTATATATGGTAGCAGCTTGATTGAGTTCCTCAGGGCTGGCACCAATAAGGAGCATGCGCTCTCCAATGCTCCGCTGCGAAAAAGTAACATGGCAGAATGGTTGTCAAGCCGGTCATCTGTTCTCGCATCCATGATTCTCACCCTGGAAGAACGAGCTCTAGATATGGATGGTTACGTCCAAAGGTTTGCCTGCGTTACCCCTGCCGCGGTCGCTTCCGGCACGACAGAAGCTGCCCTGACCCCTGTGGAAACGCGACTCTTGACCAATACCGACAAAGAGCAACCTTACGACCCTTTCCACGAATCGCGAATGCGACTATCCATTGCGTTCCCAGATAGGCGGTTGTTGCAGTACGATTGTGGCAAACTCCAGCGTCTTGATAAGCTGTTGCGCGACCTCAAAGCTGGCGGTCATCGAGCCCTGATCTTCACGCAGATGACCAAGATGCTCGATATCTTGGAGCAGTTCCTTAACATCCATGGTCACCGCTACCTACGACTCGACGGTACTACAAAGGTTGAATCGCGACAGATGCTGACCGAGCGGTTCAACAGTGACCCTCGCATCTTGGCTTTCATCCTATCCAGTCGATCAGGTGGTCTGGGTATCAACCTCACGGGTGCTGACACGGTCATCTTCTACGATCTCGACTGGAACCCCGCCATGGACAAACAGTGTCAAGACCGTTGCCATCGTATCGGCCAGACCCGCGACGTGCACATCTACCGCTTCGTGTCCGAATACACGATCGAGTCCAACATCCTCCGCAAATCCAACCAGAAACGAATGCTGGACGATGTCATTATCCAAGAGGGCGAATTCACCACCGACTACTTCACCAAGCTACGAGAACAGAATAAGATCACCGACGAGACCGACGAGCGCGACGGACAGGACGAGGCTAGTGCCGCCATGGACCGCGTCCTGGGCAATCGTGTGACAACCGCACCCCGAAATCTCGAGCAGGCCGAGGACAAGGAAGATATCGATGCAGCCAAGAACGCGCAGAAGGAGCTCGAGCATGCGGACGACGGTGACTTTGAAGAAGCGCAGAGTGCCTCGCATGGGACCCCTGCTCAGGCTGGTACTCCCATGCCTGCAGCAGAGGACGGGACCCAAGTCCCGGGCGCCACCTCGGTGCCTGATAAGCAGGCAGAGTCACTACCTGGTGACATCGATGATTATCTGCTTCGTTTCATGGAATGGAACATGCGTGACGAACCCCTTGTACTACCACCGGACAAGAGTAAGAAAAAGTCCAAGAAGGGCAAGGAGCACCACCTGAAACGACGTCGCTGAGAGCGAGAGCCCCGTCGTGCGAAGGAAAGAGAGAGTTTCCTCACCCCATTTTGAGATCTATTGTTTTGTTTCTTGACTTTCTGTCAGAAATGGCCGGGGGGGTTTTTCCCCTGATTAGTTTGAGTCTTCAACGCCCTACGCTTCTTCCCCTTGACGTTTCACAAATGCACATTGTCTATTTTCGGAGCTGAATACCTAATCAAGTTCCCTCCTTTCCTTTCCCTCCTCCCTCCTCCCTTTCTTCTAATTATAATATATCATTTTGTGTGAACTTTGTATGTTCTCTGGTGTCTGTTTTATCACTATTCTTCTCTCTTCTCTCTTGTCTTTTTTTAGCAACTCCATTTCTTCTCTTGCTCTCCTTCCTGCACAGTCCTCTTTTTCTCCTGACTTGAGGCATGAAGCTGTGGACCACCACTCACGCGACTTCTCTCGAAGGATTCCGGTGGCGTGGGTGGAGATGAACACTACTAGTCTCGAAGAAAGTGGAGAGAAAACGAAAAGACGTGCATCTTGAGGATTTTGACTGTGTATATGTACCAAACTGGGTGGGGATAGCGCCGTCTTTGTTTTGATCACCTTTTCCTCATTTGGAGTAAGGTTTTTTGTTGCGTCTGGAGCCGAGGGAGATTGGGGGAGGTGGCTGGACCTGTTCATTCTCCGATTTGTATTCTCGTGCTCAATCTACGAAGATCCAAGATCCATCAATATCCACTCTGTAATCTGAAGGGAGAACTCTCCTCTCCTCCTTACTACGTGCTCGCCTTTCTTCTCCCACATAGACTTATCAAAGTATCGGTAGCCCTGGGGGAAGAAGAAGCACCGACTGGGGAGATTTCCAGGGCACATCTTCCAAGAAGCGTGGATGCTTCAAATTTTGAGCAACAATCAAACAAGGAAATGCGAGCCACAAAGTTCTAATTAAACTCTTTTGTCAAGATATCGTTTATAATACTAGTCCAGTGGTAGACGGTTGATCGAAGACCCAAGGTGCCATTCTCAAACTACTCTACGCTCCATGGTTATTCAGTACTTGTTTAGGGATTGCGTGAGATTCATCTGCGAGTCAGGGAAGAGCCTTTCTCGGTATAAACAGCGTGATAAGATACCTTGTACCGCTCCTTGTACCTAGGTAGTGATCTACTGACAGAGGGATGATAATGAAGATATCAGTATGTGTGGGATGAGAGACAGTTGACGCTCAAAGCAATAAATACTAGTACACCGGTGTGCCCAGGTGGACCGACTGAGACTGTAGAAAATAAGACCCTTGGTCTCGGAATCTATCAAAAAGCATGGGACGAATGAGAGCCTCGCATAGTGTCATGGTCAGAAGCAATCAACTTCCTAGGCTTGATTCGTCGGCTAGGGGTACTAATATCTTCCACCCTTGCAATTCGCATAGTGGACAGTAAATTGATTGCCGCATTCGAATGAGCATATACCTCGCCGTGGAACATACCAGTGCAGTCTTTACCGGTATTCCTGTCCAATATGCTGCTACCTCCTGGATGCTTATTCATGAAACTCCTGATATCGTGTGCAATGCCATCGATAAGAATTAGGGAGCGTCCGTCGTTGACATATTCGGAGTATTTTTCAAGGCTGATAATAGGAAGTTCGTGCATCGGAATACCCCAAGATAGTTTTTTCCGTTCATTTTCCAATTGTTGCATTACCTGCTGAAAATTGCCCTTCTTAATCTCATTGCTTGGGAATCGTTCAAGGTCGAATGCAAGGTTGACAGTGGCACAGAGCCAGATCAGCCATTTTGTCGGATCCCAATGCATCCATCGATATCCGTTCCGATAATCTGTTGGAAACTCGTGGTGAAAGTTATGATATCCTTCGCCCCAGGTAATAAGAGCAACTATCAGGTTATTTCGTGATGAATGGCGATCTGAATAAGGCTTGTCACCAATCCAGTGTGCCAGGGAGTTGACACAAAAGGTAGCTTGTTGAATAGCAAAGGCTCGGAGACAGCTGGCATAGATAAACCCCCCCAGCAAAGTCACCGAAAAGAAAGCCGCATATCGCCGTGGGCATTATGTATACCGTAAAAAATAGCAAGGTCAGGTAATGTTGACGCTGCCACGTTACTAGGGCATCACCCGTCAGATCTTGAATGTCGACACGCCCGATTGTCTCGGGCTGCCTTCTAAATATGACCCAACCGTAGTGAGCGTAAAAGAAACCTTTGCTTATGGAGTAAGGATCACGGTTCGTGTCAACATAACGGTGATGCGCTCGATGATCACGGCACCAAGTTCTTATAGATCCTTGTCCAGCACTAGCACCCCCGATCGCTAAAGCAACCTGTAGAATTGGGTGCGCAGAATAGGCGCGATGCGCCCATAGCCGATGATAACCTGCACTGATGTCAGACCTGTTTATCCTCATACATTTTCCATGATCTCACCCGCGGTTATGCTCAGTCCAGATATTGACATATACACAATGGTGAAGATAGTCGTTTGAGTTTTTAATGGGACCCATATAGCCCCTATTATGAGGGCCAAAACGGGTTGGATGCCCGTAAAGCCGAGTCGCCACCAATCGATTGGGGGGCATGAATGCCATAGTTTCGCCAGCGTCCCTTTCTTTTCGTGGCCTTCATGACCACGGTCGGAATGCGCAATCATCTTGAACCGTCGACTACTGATCTGATATCGTTCGTGATTTCAAAGAATGAGACTTGGAAAGGAAGACGTATTCTTTCTTGTGGAGAGGTAGCCTTGGCCTGGATTGAGAATAAAGAATGCAAAATTGAGAAAAATGATTGGGAGGGCTCCGTACAAAGGTTTCTAAAGAAATGTCCCCGGGTGACCACACGAGGCTACATACCTAGGTACTACTAGTAAATGACCACCTGGGCATACTATATGACAGAGCACTCTGTTTGACCCAACTTGAAGAAAAAGCAAACTCGCCTAATTTGAAAAACAAACCAATCATATACCTAGGACCTAGGTATCATGACATATCATGCAAGGCAGCGGTCATAAATCCGACTCGAATGTTATGCGTGGCTGTCAATGTGGCTTACCTGCCCAAATAGTACCACTAGTACTCTGTAGCATATGCAAGGGCGACGTCCGTATTTAGATTCCAATAAGGGGCCTTTGACACCGCGGATACAAGGTCATTAGGAAGTGGGGCACATTGAAAAACAACAATTCCATAGGTTGAAACCATTCGAATGGTATTTTCTCCTTTAATCATGAGAAGTTCCCTTTTCCATGTCCCGTTTGCTTTTGAATTGTGAATTGATGCAGACCTATCGAAATGGAGGCCATAACCGCCCAAGAAATCTCCGAGTTCGATACGAAGAATGCCTTGGTCAGAGAAACAAAGGCAGAAAATGGAAGTGTGCACTCTCTTTCGAAGCAGGAGCTTCTGGTTTTACTTGGGCTCGCAAGTCTAAGTTTGATGGCAGCGCTGGATGGGACGTCTGTTGCGGTCGCTTTGCCGGTATCACGTCCGAAATCAATAAGACCTCAAACCGGAGCGCTTGACTAATCAATAGTTATCCAGATAATTGCCCAAGACCTGAATGGCTCTACAATTGAAGCATTTTGGACAGGAACTTCATTCACGCTATGTTCGGCAGGTTCGTCACGATAGGTGTTGACTGGAAAATCAGTATCACTAACGCTGGTCTAGTCTTCCAGCCAGTGTTTTCTTCATGCTCGGACTTATTTGGTCGAAAACAATTAATCCTAGTTGCGACTTTGTGGTTTTTGATAGGAGCCATTGTCGCTGGTGTTGCGAAGAACTTCACTCATATGCTTATCGGCCGTTCTCTGCAGGGAATTGGGGGAGGTGGTATCATCACCCTCACTGCGATAGTCATTGCCGATATTGTGCCTCTCTGTTATCGAGCAAAGTATTTCGGAATGCTTGGTGGTATCTGGAGCTTGGGTACTGTAATTGGTCCGGTAATTGGGGGATGCTTTGCTCAAAATGTTACATGGGTATGATATATTCCCTCGCGTCCCCTTTTTCGCGCCAGTGATTATACCAGTACTACCTGGGTACTTCTGTGTACTAATATGTTTTATTTAGCGTTGGATCTTTTATATCAATTTTCCTTTCATAGGTATTGGGGCAGCATTGGTCGCGTGGTCGTCTTCTTTCGAGACAAGCAAGTCATCCTTCTCAGAACAAATACGAAAAATCGACTTTTTGGGTATGCTTCTGTTCATCCCAAGCACCGCATCATTTTTAATTCCGCTCTCTTGGGGAGGAATCCTATATCGCTGGGATTCATGGCATACAATAGCCCCATTGGTCACAGGAGCTGTTGGATTGTGTCTTTTTGCGGTATATGAGTATCAATTCGCCAAGCAACCGATGGTTCCCCCGGCAATATTTCACAACCGAACCTCCTTGATCTCATTTGGCGGATACATGGTGGTCGGACTGTTGATCTGGTGTTTTCTATATTTCCTTCCCCTCTATTACGAGGCCGTGAAGGGGTTTGAACCCATTATGTCCGGGGTCGCCCTTTTCCCCGAAACATTCACACTAGCTCCAAGTGCGATTGTCATCGGGTTTATTATCAGCAAGACTGGTCAATATTACTGGGCTATCTGCATTGGATGGGGTCTATCCACCCTTGGAGCAGGTTTGATGTACTTACTCAGTGCGGATACTTCGACGGCTGAATGGGTATGTATAAACCTGGTTCCCGGCATCGGAATTGGAATGGTTCTTCCTTCTGTTGCATTAGCAGTCCAGGCATCAGCAACAGCGGAGAATCTGGCAATTGCGGTGGCGATGTCAACTTTCTTCCGTGGGTTTGGCCAGTCTATTGGCGTCGCAATTGGGGGTGTTATTTTCCAGAATCGGATGAAAAGCAATCTCTTGACATATCCTGCCTTACGGGCGGTTGCGGACAAGTACAGCGGGGAAGCGGCGAGCGCAGTACAACTTATCAGACTGATGGAGAACGGCCCGATGAAGAATGATTTGAGGGAGGCCTATGCTAACAGCTTGAAAGTTGTGTGGGCATTTTGCTGTGTCATCTCTGGCGTCATATTTGTGATTAGCTTTTGGACGAAGTCTTATTCATTGGGTCTGGTGTTTGAAGAACAGGACCTCAAAGAAGAAGAGGCCTAAGTTTACTTCCTAGGTAATGGATGATTTCTCATGATAATTGACCGAGTACGTAGTTAGTAGGTAGTAGTAGTAGTACTTGGTAAGCGACTTGACCGTCAAAAAGGTACCGTGTCCAGAAATTTTAAACTCAAATGAAGTACAGTATCACTAGAATGTTATTTGATGATGCATGGTCTTCACTGAGAGATTTGAGTAGTGCATTTTACATTCCGATAGGTGATATAACCTCGGGTGCCATATGCAAGTCGGGAAACCGTTTTACCGGCCTCGGCACATAAACCGTGACGTCGGACACCCGGGCCCACAAGACTTCCGATAAAAGGACGCAATTGGGACAGAATTTCACAGAATTTATAAAGACATGGATTCGCATCATCTCCAAGCTTTTAGGCTTCCCCGCAATCGATCCCCAGGGCCATCACATGCATGTCTGTGACATCCACAATTGGTGGACCCTCAGATCTACAAATGTACCACTCAGATCTACTCCAGGCTAAAACTAAATAATACAGATTGACTCGTTCTACACTACAGTACTCAGAATCCCCACACACATGCAAACATGTCTATCTCAAAATGGATTGGCGTTGCTAAATCAGACAAAAAGGACCTATGCTGGTCTAAGGAGAAAACGTTTTAATACAGATTACAGGTGTAGTCGGCAGTCCAGAGCTCTACAGCAGCAGCTCCAGCGGGTTCTCCACCACCTTCTTCAGCTCCTTGATCCACTCACCACCGACGGCACCGTCCACAACCTTGTGGTCGAAGCTACCGGTGACAATGATCTGGTCGTCCCACTCAGTGACGGTGCCCTCCTCGGTCTCAACGGGGACAGCAACCTTGCGGATGGTGCCGACGGCCAGGATACCGGCCTGAGGGGGGGTTGATGACAGCAGTGAAGCGCTCCACGGCGGCGTTCATGCCCATGTTGCTGATGGTGAACGTACCACCCTGGTACTCCTCGGGCTTGAGCTTGTTGTCACGAGCACGCTTGCCGAGGTCACGAACCTGGTTGGAGATACCGGAGAGACCGAGACCCTGGACGTTCCGGACGACGGGGGTGATCAGGCCGGTAGGGGTGGAGACAGCGACACTGATGTCGGCGGTCTTGTGCTGGCGGATGACAGTCTGGCCGTCGACCTCAATCCAGCTGGAGTTGACCTGGGGCACCTTCAGAAGGGCGGCGGCGCAGGCCTTGACCAGGAAGTCGTTGACGGAGAGCTTGTACTTGCCCTCAGCGGAGGCGTTCAGGGCCTGGCGGAGCTTGAGGAGCTTGCTGACCGAGAGGGTGGTGGAGACGAAGTAGTGGGGGTTCTCGGCCATGGACTGCTTGAGGCGGTTGGCGATAACCTTGCGCATGGAGGAGGCGGGGACGTCCTCGTAGGTGGCAGCAGCAGGGGCAGCGGAGCCCTGGTACTTCTCGACATCCTCCTTGGTGATCTGACCACCACGACCGGTACCCTTCAGAGCCTTGACGGGGACACCCTTCTCGAGGGCAAGGGCCTTGGCGGCAGGGCTGATGGAAGCCTCACGGTCCAAGCTAGGCTGGAGCTTGTCACCCGAAGTCTCGGGCTCGATGGCGGCGGGCTCCGCGGCCGGGGCCGGGGTAGGCTCAGCGCTCTTGGGCTCTTCCTTCTTCTCGGCGGCAGGGGCAGCCTTGTCACCACCGGCATCAGCCAGGGTGAACTCTGCGAAAGCGGCGACATCAGTGCCCTCCTCGACGAGGACAGCAATGGGCTATAAGTTAGAAAAAAAAAGACATTAGCATAAGGACAGGGTTGCGGAGATTCGCAAGTCCGCGGGGAAGCTCGGGAAAATTCTTACCGAGCCGACGGCGATATCCTTCTCACCGGAGTCCTTCAGGACCTTGGCAAGGACACCCTCGTCTTGGAACTCAAAGTCCATCTGTGCCTTATCGGTCTCAATCTCGACGAGGACATCACCGGGCTGGAGGCCGTCACCGGCCTTCTTCTGCCAAACGCCGATGTTTCCCGCGGTCATGGTTGGGGACAGCGCGGGCATGCTGATGATGGTGTGCGAAGGGAAGGCTGTAGATGTCAATTCGAGTTAGATAGTATGTCCTCATTGGCGTGGTTGTCTGGAAAGGAGTTCGGGGGTTGAAATTCGGTTTGTTGGGGGGTGCATACTCTTGGAAGCATAGTAGCGGGAAAGCGCGGAGATGCTGGGCAATTGGTTCCTGCGCGGAGGTCAATGGTAAGCAATGGATTAATTAAGTTGTAGAGAGGGAGTTGGGGCGCATACTGGATGACTTCCTGGAACTTGTAGGAAACCTGAGGGCGGCGCATTGAGGCAGCACCGCGAGCCATCATGGCCGGGGTGCGCATCCGAACGGCGGCAGCAACCATTTTGAGCGATTGCCGGTGAAATAAGAATTAAGAAATGGGGATATAAAGAGCTCTCGATGCGACAACGCAGAGAGAGAGACCGGCAAGGAAGACGTGGAGGGGCCGGAGATGGGAGGAGTTGGGGAGAGAGATGGCTTGTATTGGTGAACTTTTCTGTTGAGCTGCCAGATTTCCTTAGGTAAGGCGGTTTTTGCTCCGATTTCCTCCCTTTGGTGGACTCCCGTTGGATCCTTTTGGGAACCTTAAGGGGGCCCGGTGAGCGGCCCCGTCCGGGTCACCTGATGGTCACCTGGAGTCACCTGATGAGTTACCTGACGAAGTCAGGTGACGAGACAGTGACTAGTCAGCATGATTACGTGATCAGTCTCTCGTGAGCATATATCATGTGACGGCTGACTCATCAGGACACGATCGCATACATCGGCGATGCTTCGGGATGCCCCAAGTAATTCCACGTTGTACTCCGTACGCTACTTCCACCTCTCCCCCCTCCCCCACAACCCCTCCAGCCTTTCCCTTGCCTTCGCATGTTCTGAGCCAATTCACCCCGCCCGCGACCATGGCGGACGTCGACCCCGGCTCCGAGCCGAACCCTCAACTTACTCTTCCTCACACCTCCGATTCCCCCGATGAGAAGACTCCAGTGGAGAGCAGCACCGAGGCTCAAACTTCCCCAGGAGTAACGGACGACAACCCGGCTTCACCGGATGAGACCGAGTCATCCAACCCCATCGAGGAGTCCGATAAACCTCAAGAATCCCTCCATAACTCCCAAGACCAACCTGAGGTGGAAAACAAACAAAAGAATGGTGATGACGACCATCCAGGCACCAACATTGTGGAGGAGCAGGTTCAGCTCGACCAACAAGAAGAAGACAGCAACGAACAGGACAAACCAGAGGTGCCCCCCCAAGGATACCGAAAATGCCCCCCGATGCCAACGACTTCCCCGAGCGCCAGATGGAGCCAATGCCTGAAATTCAAGAGCCGATCCCCGAAGACAACGCGCCTCCCGTGGATTCCCGCGTGCGATCCGATTCCCGCTCGACCACCCATACCTTCATGACCTCCAGAGGTGGCACGGTCAGCTCGGCCGTGTTCATTATCACAGCCCTGGATGCCATTGGTGCCTCGCGGGAGGCTCGGAAGAGCAAGGAGCTCGAGGATGCCGTGCAGGTGGCCCTGGCCAATGTCAAGCAAGAAGGCCACCAACCAATTGACCCAGAACTAATCTTCCGTCCATTGCACATGGCTAGCAAGACCCTCAGTGTCCCCTTGCAGGTCACCGCACTTGACTGTATCGGCAAACTCATCACCTACTCCTATTTCGCCTTCCCTTCCGCGGAGTCCGAAAACGAGTCCACCCCAGAACAACCTCCTCTGATTGAGCGTGCCATCGATGCGATCTGCGATTGCTTCGAGAACGAGGCCACCCCAAATGAGATCCAACAACAGATCATCAAATCACTCCTGGCGGCGGTGCTAAACGACAAGATCGTGGTTCACGGAGCTGGTCTCCTCAAAGCTGTCCGCCAGATATACAACATTTTCATCTACTCAAAATCCACTCAGAACCAGCAGATCGCTCAGGGATCACTAACTCAGATGGTCAGTACCGTTTTCGACCGAGTTCGCATTCGCCTTGACCTGAAGGAACTTCGGACCCGCGAGGTTGAGAAGACTGCCTCCAACAGCCTTGACGCGCCGGCTAGCGACCAGGGCCAATTGTCCGAAACCGCATCTGTCTCTGTCTCCGTAGCAGACCAGTCAGTCTCAGATCAACCTGTCACCAAGGAACCCGGCGAGAAGCTCACCCTGCAGAGCTTCGAGTCGCCCAAGGAAGTTACCTCGGTCAATGATAATGCGCCGACAATGGTCACACGGGCTAAGCGTTCCAACACTCGGTCGTTGTCTGGAATCCCTGAAGAGAGGGACGATGATAGCTCTGCTGAGGACGAGGTGGATGAGATCTACGTCAAGGACGCCTTCTTGGTCTTCCGCGCACTTTGCAAGCTGAGCCACAAGGTTCTGAGCCACGATCAGCAACAGGACATCAAGTCACAAAATATGCGATCCAAGCTTCTCTCCTTGCACCTCGTCCACTATCTCATCAACAACCACACTAACACCTTCACCTCTCCCCTCGCAGCCATCAAGAACAGCTCGACTAGCCCAGACGCTATGACTCTCCTCCAGGCAATCCGTCCCCATCTCTGCCTGAGTCTGAGTCGCAACGGTGCCAGCTCGGTACCCCATGTATTCAAGGTCTGCTGTGAGATTTTCTGGTTGATGATCAAGCACATGCGAGTCATGATGAAGAAGGAGCTAGAAGTGTTTTTGAAGGAGATCTACTTGGCCATTTTGGAGAGGAAGGCCGCTCCATCATTCCAAAAGCAATATTTCATGGAGGTCTTGGAACGACTTGGAAGCGATGCCCGAGCCCTGGTCGAGATCTATCTAAACTACGATTGTGATCGAACTGCTCTCGAGAACATCTTCCAGAACCTTGTCGAGCAGTTATCCCGGTACTGTAGTGTGCCGGTTGTCACCTCTGCTCCACAACAGCAGGCCTTCCAGGATCACCACGTCAAGATGTCGAGCGTTGGAGTAGAATGGCACCAGCGGGGAACTCTGCCTCCATCTCTCACGTCCGCCAACATCATGCCGAGCCCCCAGCCCCCTATTCCCACAATCCCATCCGATTATGTTCTAAAGCACCAAGCCCTGGAAAGTCTTGTGGAGATGCTACGCTCCTTGGACAACTGGGCCGCCCAGCGCCCGGACGAACAAAGCCCGCAACCCATCGTGCCCTCCAAGTCTATGGACAACTCGCGGGAATCTCTGGATACCAACGTCCTCTTTTCCCCGCGTCCAGATGCCGCTGAATCAGGAACCGGAAGGTCTACCCCATTGCCCGAGGATGATCCTAATCAGATCGAAAAGGTGAAGCAGCGCAAGATTGCCATGATGAACGCCATTCAGCAATTCAACTTCAAGGCCAAGCGTGGAATCAAACTGATGCTATCCGAGGGTTTCATTCGCTCGGATTCGCCGGAGGATATTGCTACTTTCCTCCTACGCAATGACCGCCTCGATAAGGCCGTGCTGGGAGAGTACCTTGGTGAAGGTGATGCCGAGAATATCGCCATCATGCATGCGTTTGTTGACCAAATGGAATTCACTAAGCGCCGCTTCGTCGAGTCTTTGCGGGGATTTCTGCAACACTTCCGCCTTCCTGGCGAAGCCCAAAAGATTGATCGTTTCATGTTGAAGTTTGCTGAGCGTTATACCACCCAAAACCCCAATGCATTCGCCAATGCCGACACCGCCTATGTGCTATCGTACTCCGTGATTATGCTGAACACGGATCAACATAGTTCCAAGATGAAGGGCCCTCGGATGACCAAGGAGGACTTCATCAAGAACAACCGGGGCATCAATGACAACCAGGATCTGCCATCGGAATACCTTATTGGAATCTATGATGAGATTGCCAACAACGAGATTGTCCTTGACACAGAACGAGAACATGCGGCCAATATCGGTATTCAAACCACCGCCCCTGCTGGTCTAGCGACCCGTGCAGGCCAGGTGTTTGCCACTGTAGGACGAGACATCCAGGGCGAGAAATATGCACAGGCTTCCGAGGAAATGGCCAACAAGACAGAGCAGCTGTATCGCTCTCTCATCCGGGCTCAGCGCAAAACCGCTGTCAAAGATGCACTCTCCCGTTTCATTCCGGCCACATCAGAACGCCACGTTGGCTCAATGTTTAATGTTACCTGGATGTCCTTTTTGTCCGGTCTTTCGGCCCCGATGCAAGATACCCAAAACATTGAAGTAATTCGTCTATGCATGGAGGGTCTGAAGCTGGCTATCAGAATCAGCTGTGCTTTTGATTTGGAAACCCCTCGAGTGGCGTTCGTCACGGCTCTCGCTAAATTCACCAACCTGGGAAACGTTCGCGAGATGATGGCCAAGAATGTCGAGGCCTTGAAAGCACTCCTTGATGTCGCCTACACCGAGGGCAACCACCTCCGCAGCTCATGGCGAGAAATTCTCACATGTGTCAGCCAGCTGGATCGTTTACAATTGCTAAGCGATGGTGTTGACGAGGGCTCACTACCTGATGTATCACGGGCACCGACCTCTGATTCTGCCTCTCGCAAGTCCATGCAGAGCACACGCCGACCTCGTCCGCGCTCTGTCGGTGGTCCTACAGCGTTCCGCATGGAAATTGCCCAGGAGAGCCGATCGGCAGATATGGTTCGCGGTGTAGACCGTATCTTCACTAATACCGCAAATCTATCCCATGAGGCAATTATCGACTTTGTTCGTGCCCTGAGCGAGGTTAGCTGGCAAGAGATCCAGTCATCTGGACACACCGACTCGCCCCGGACATACAGTTTGCAGAAGTTGGTTGAGATCAGCTACTACAACATGACTCGTGTTAGGATCGAATGGTCCAAGATCTGGGAGGTGCTAGGTCAACATTTCAACCAAGTTGGCTGTCATTCCAACACGACTGTTGTATTCTTCGCTTTGGACTCACTTCGACAATTGTCGATGCGTTTTATGGAGATTGGCGAGTTGCCCGGTTTCAAATTCCAGAAGGACTTCTTGAAGCCGTTTGAGCATGTCATGGCAAACAGCACTACTGCTGCTGTCAAGGATATGATTTTGCGGTGCTTGATCCAGATGATTCAGGCCCGCGGTGACAACATCCGCTCAGGATGGAAGACAATGTTTGGTGTTTTCACCGTGGCAGCCCGAGAACCATACGGTTTGTCCTTCCTTACCCTCTTTTCCTTTCATTTTGCCATGAAGCAATTGCTAACAACCGCTTAGAGGGAATTGTCAACATGGCCTTCGACCATGTCACCCAAATTTATAATACTCGCTTCGGCATTGTGATCACCCAGGGTGCCTTCCCCGACCTAATTGTGTGCTTGACCGAATTTTCCAAGAACTCGAAGTTCCAAAAGAAGTCGCTGCAAGCCATTGAAACGCTCAAGTCGACAGTCAGCAAGATGCTTCGAACCCCAGAGTGTCCGCTCTCCCACCGTGGCGATGATGCCCGGAATTTCCAGGAGGAGGGTACCAACCTTGCCAAGCAACTCACTCGCCAGTCAAAGGAGGAGCAATTTTGGTATCCTATCCTTATTGCATTCCAGGATGTGCTGATGACTGGTGACGATCTCGAGGTCCGTTCCCGGGCCTTGACCTACCTCTTTGATACGCTGATCCGCCACGGCGGAGATTTCCCACGCGACTTCTGGGATGTTCTCTGGCGTCAGCTTCTCTGCCCCATTTTTGTGGTCCTGCAATCCAAGTCAGAAATGTCCAAGGTTCCCAATCATGAGGATCTGTCAGTCTGGCTGTCTACCACCATGATTCAGGCCCTGCGGAACATGATCACCCTTTTCACGCACTACTTCGATTCATTGGAGTACATGCTGAGTAGATTCCTTGAGTTGTTGACCCTGTGCATCTGCCAAGAGAACGACACGATTGCCCGTATCGGCAGCAACTGTCTGCAACAGCTGATTTTGCAGAACGTGGCCAAGTTCCGCGAGGAACACTGGTCTCAAATCGTTGGGGCGTTTGTCGAGCTTTTCAGCAAGACCACGGCGTATGAGTTGTTCACTGCCGCAGCTTCCATGTCGAAGATCACCGAAACATCTAGCATCAATGGAGACGTTACCAACCAAGCATCCGATGCCTCGGCCGCTTCAGAAGACCTGCCTGATGTCATGCAGCCCAATGGATCGCAGAGCACGGCATCTCTCCATGAAACCGGCGATCCTCCAGTCCAAAGTGAAGCCCGCGCAGAACTTGAAGACTACCGTCCCCCTACCGACTCGTCGCAACAACCCGCCGCAGTAACGGCAGCCCGTCGGCGCTTTTTCAACAGGATTATCACCAACTGTGTTTTGCAACTACTGATGATCGAAACGGTGCACGAGCTGTTCTCCAACGATACGGTCTACGCACAGATCCCGAGTCCGGAGCTACTGCGACTGATGGGCCTGCTGAAGAAGAGTTACCAATTTGCCAAGAAGTTCAACGAGGATAAGGACCTACGCATGCAACTCTGGCGTCAAGGGTTCATGAAGCAGCCACCGAATCTGTTGAAGCAGGAGAGCGGTAGTGCCGCAACCTACGTGCATATTCTCTTCCGGATGTATCATGATGAGCGAGCAGAGCGCCAAAGCAGCCGTGCGGAGACCGAAGCTGCACTAATCCCGTGAGTTTCCCCATTATACTAACCCACCGTCACGTTCTTCTCTTTTGGCGATCAGATTCTAATGTTTTTGACAGGCTCTGCGCCGATATCATCCGCAGCTTCGTCCGCCTGGACGAAGAGACCCAAAACCGCAACATCATCGCCTGGCGACCAGTCGTCGTTGACGTGATTGACGGATACAACAGTTTCCCGCAAGATGGATTTGACAAGTACATTGAAACCTTCTACCCAATCACGGTGGAGCTCCTGAGTCGGGATCTGAGCCCGGAGATTCGCGTTTCCCTCCAAGGGTTGTTACGGCGGATCGGCGAGGTCCGACTCGGGGTTGCGCCGCCGAACCCGCTCGATGCGCCGATCAGTCCGCGGAGTTCCGTGTCACAAAAGATGCGTCGGGAATCTCAATAGACTTAGCCAATAATTGACTGGCTAAGCATTGACCACTGTGTCTTATGTGTCTTTTCTACCTCCTTTTCGTTTCTTCTTTGTTTTTGTTCCTGCTTGTTTCTTTATGCGATATACTACCTTTCGCCCGGCATTGTGATTTACGGGTGATTCTGGCGTTTGAGTCTACCTGAACTCTCCATTGATTAGCATCTGTTTGGCTCAATAGAGATGCATAGTTGTATTGATAAGATCAGTCTTCGACGAGCTCTTCAAGTATTTGTCCTAATTGCCCTTATTGCCCTAGTTGTAGTAATAGAAATGGTCCTAGTAGGTAACTATGCTCCTCGTTCATTCGGGTATCGCTATCCAATCTATGCAATTCTATACTATACTATTTTCATCTAGTCATTAATTTTCATCGCCTCCAACCGGACCTGTTCAAAAGACGGCACATCCCCTTCAGCATAATGCGTCAACAAACCTGCCATGTCCTTCTCAGTCATCTTCACCAAATCATCCAGCTCCCACTCCTCACAGACCGCCGACATCCACTTCATCCTCTTAGCCCCCTCCTTCGCTTCGGGGGCAACTTGTCTCAACATCTTCCTCAACGATCCCACATTCTCAATGGCAGCCCCCATGTTCTCCGGCAGTGCATCCGCAATCTTCCTCCTCACGATCGCCGCCAACCGCGGCCCATTCCCATTCGTACTAACCATGACCTGCAACGGCCCATCCCGATGCATACTGCCGAAATAAAAGTCACATTCGGGGGGCACGTCGGCAATGTTCGCGGGAATTCGGCGCTCCTTGCACAGTTTCCAGACTTGGGTCGAGGCTTCGGGGTCGTCAATTGCGCAGAGGACCATATCTGCGCCGTCGAGGTCGGAGGGTTCAAAGGTGCGGTCGATGTGGGTGACTTGGTTTTCGGCGATGCGGTAGGATACTTCGGGGTTTAGGCCGCTGGTTGGACTGACGACTGTTACTTTTGCATCGGCGTTTAGAGCGTGGAGGATTCGGCCTGCTGCGACCTGTGATATGTGTTAATGAGTATGTTTATATAGGGTAGAGCGAGGTAGGTAGCTCACCTCGCCGCCGCCAACGACTAATACATGCTTGGACTTGACTTGCCAAGCGACGATCATCGAGCCGCCGCCTTGGACGGGGGGGAAAGACATGGTGGGGGTATAGAAGTGTGGGGTGAGGTAGGTGAAGTAGGTGAAGTAGTTGAAGAGGAGAAGAAGTAGAAGTAGAGGTCACGGGGAAGTCAATTGAATTGAAGAGGAAGGTGCGACTGATGACTACAGTTACTCAGTTACTCGCTCTCACAAGGAAGGAACGTGGGGCTACGGCGGGGCGCACCTGCCGCGTCGGCACTTTGGCTCCTTCCGTTTTTCTTTTCTTTTTCTCCTCCGCCTTTCTTCTTCTTCTTCTTCTTCTTCTTCTTCTTCTTCTTCTCTCACCTCTTCTTTCTTTTCTCCCCTCCCTCTCCCTCCTCCACCTCCAACCATCTTTCGAGATGCGCGGCGTGCAAATTTTCTCTGGCACGTCGCATCCAGGCCTTACAGATACCATCTGTGAGCGCCTGGGTACTTCCCCCGCCAAAGCCGATCTGGGTAAATTTGCCAATGGCGAGACCAGCGTCAATATCGGCACCTCCGTCCGGAACCAAGATGTTTATATCGTTCAGAGTGGCAGTGGCAAGATCAATGACAGCGTCATGGAGCTTCTCATCATGATCTCCGCTTGCAAGGGTGGTTCCGCCAAGTCTATCACTGCGGTCATGCCGTATGCTCTGTCTTCCATCATGTCTCGTCTCCTTGTATGATGCTGACCCCATGATGAGATACTTCCCTTACTCCCGTCAATCCAAGAAGAAGAGCCACCGCGGTGCCATCACCGCGCGCATGCTGGCCAACTTACTCTCCATCGCCGGCGTCGACCATGTCATCACCATGGACCTGCACGTACGTCTACGTCCCCGTTCCTCGTTACCTGCTTTACCTGCTTTTCCCCGATTGGATGAAGTGATGTGATGGGGTCAATTGAGTGAATTGTTGGATTTCTGAACTCATCGTTGACCGGTGTTTTTCTTTTCTGCCTCCAGGCTTCCCAGATGCAAGGTTTCTTCGGGAAACCCGTGGATAACCTCTTTGCGGAACCCTTTATCGCCCGCTGGATCCGCATGAACGTGGCCGGCTGGCGCGATGCCGTCGTCGTCAGCAAGAACGCCGGTGGCACCAAGCGCGTCACCTCCTTGGCCGACACCCTGAAGCTGAATTTTGGTATTGTGACCACCGACCGCAGGCGGACCAAGGTTCCCATCAACACCATGTCGGATAGCACCGTCTTCTTTGATGCAGTGGAGGATGAGCGGCTCCCCCGGGATCAGCAACCGTTTGACCTGCAGATGCACAGTGCACAGGCCACCCGGCCGATTGCCGAAGAGACTGACGTCTTCACCTCTCCCTCCCCACTGCTGCGCCCAGAGACACCCTCAGCGGCTCGGAGACCATCCGAGCTAGAAGCTGCGCACGATTACACCGATGTGCGAGTGCGCGATGTCATCACCGGTCGCCTGGTACAGGGCCAGCTGGTCGACGATGACTACCGCCCTGGGTCGGAGTCTCTGTCCGGGGGGACCACCCCTGGCGCTACTCCCAGTGGCAATCAGGATACCGAAGTCGTTCCTGATTCCATGATCAGCTCCATGATCTCCAACAGTTCCTCCTCGGTCCACCCCGATCACGCCCTTGGTGGTTCCTTTGATGCCGCTGAGTCGGACGATGAGGCCAGTGTTCCCGGAGCTGACCACGAGCGAACCATCACCCTGGTTGGTGAGGTTCGGGACCGCCCAGTCTTCATTGTTGATGACATGATCGACAAGAGCGGTTCGTGGATCGCTGCTGCAGAAACAGTCGTGAAGCGCGGTGGTGCCAGCAAGGTGTACTGCATTGCTACCCACGGCCTATTCACAGCGGAATCAATCGACCAGATGGAGGCGTGTCCCTCCATCGACCATATCGTCGTTACAAATACCTTCCCAATCTCGCCGGCTATGGTCCGCCGGTCGAAGAAGTTGATTGTTATTGATGTGTCGACCCTCCTTGCGGAGAGTATCCGACGACACCACTATGGTGAAAGGTGAGTACCTGGTTGTACCTGTGGCTGTGGACCATCCTGACTTGTTTCCAGTGTCTCGGCTCTCTTCCACCTTAACGACTGATGAGATGTGTTGATGATAGCTGTGACGAATATCCCATGGACGGCGTTGGCAGACTCCGATATCTGCATTTTCTACATGATATGATACCTATGAAGACGTTGAATCGTTCTTTCTACCTTGTAGCATTTTTCCACCTTTTCAATTTTCCTTTTCTCATACTTCCCTCTTCCCTTTCCTTTCCCTCCCCTCACCAACGATGCAGTCCACTCTGGGTTCTGCAGGAGTATCTCGTGACCCACGAGGTATTCTTAACGGAGCGTTGGAAGAAGAAAATACCGAGTCGGCCCGTCTTCTAGTTCTTGAGATCTACCTTGGTATTTCCTGAGAGCTGGCGGGCGACCGACTCGACGAGTTACGAAGGCACCGGTTTCTGTGGGTTCGTCCCATGCCTTTGGCCGTGGAATCGGTGCAAGAGATAAGAGAAAATCTCGAACTCGAACATTCCGTCTACCAGCACCAGTCTCAGTCTTAGTCCTGGCTGCAATGAATGGTTGGAAAGACTTGACCCGACCCGAACTGGACTGAACTGAACTGAACTTGGTCGGGCCCTCGTAGTGATTGCTAGCAAACTAGTCGATTTATAAATTCAGTAACAATTCCTTCCACCGCATTTTCTTCGCTCCCGTCAATTGACCTCCGTATCTCCCGTGTGATCCTGGTATCCAGATTCCCTCAACCCGATGATCATGATCAACAGACCAAAACAAGCACAAGTCCATCCGCATGACCCAATGCGGTACAACGGTGAGCTCATGTTTGACATCACGCACGTCAAACGGCTGCGGTCCGCCGTCCCGTAAACCGAGGCAAGCGAAGCTTACCTGGTCACTTCTTGCGGTCTGACATCAGTGGATTCTATTCTGCAGAGTAAAGCCGCGCAGACAGCTGAAGACAGCTGGCCACAACGCCAGCTGAGGCAAGGTGGATATCATCGGCAGTACAGTTTGGTTTGCCTCTTCCTCAGCCATCTCAGCACACGCGATCAATCCCGATATACAATGGCGGTCTGTTTCACACGGATATGAAAAGCACAACGGCGCAAATGTATTGGGTCTTCGCTGAGCGGCTCGAATGGGTGGCTGGACCGGTTTCAAATACGCTGGGGTCTAAGTATACCGGTTGTCGGGAGATTCTCGTAGGTACCCGGGAATCAAAAAGAAAACAGTGATTTTTTTTGGGATTTATTTTTGCAGTCTTGTTTTACTGACTTCTTATCTCGGAATGCATTGTGTGACATCCTTTGTGCGACGTCGGAGCGGGAGTCGCAGTTCCAACCCTGCTTACCTAGGTAAGCATACCGCTACCTTACTTCGACGACTTCGGTGCGACGGGTCTACATACCACTAGTTTGTGTTTGTGTCCCTACATATACAATCTATTGTAGGTTGAAGTTAACTGTCACCTGCAATGGGTTAAGAACTCCCGACGTCGGCATGTGTGGATCCTCAGCCATGCACATATGTATGTATCCTGTTACACCGAACGCGAAAACGGCCATTGCATCGTCATTGAAAATGGCAGCAAGTAGGTGGCCTCGTTCTGCCAAGTCGTAAAGCCTCGATCTCGATCTCGACCTCGACCTCGACCTGCTACCAACTACGGTAAGGTAAGTTTGCTCGGCTAGGCCAGTCACAAGCCAGAAACGGGCCGTGGATGTGACGGAGGGAAGCAAGTGGGGAGGGGAGGTGGAGTCTGGAGAAGAAACAATTCAAATTCGCTTGGCCAATCGGATGTTGATGGGGATGGTACAGTACTTAGTGTACCTAGGTGGTGGTGCTACTAAGTGTGGTACTTGATTCAAATAATATTCCTACGTATATCCCCAACTTGTTCTAGTCTACTATTTAACTCTCTGGCCAGACCTGAAAAGGTACCTTACCTAGGTATTAAGTACCTAGGTATACATGTAACATTTACTCTGTAACGCCTCGCCAAGTCGGCACTTCCGATCGACAGGGATGTAGATGTCTCTAAAAAAGAACTTGAAAAATAAGTACCGTACCTCGCACCAAGACATTCATCCGAGTAAGCAAAGCCAAACCATGTGGAGCAGTTGATCTATCTCGAGCCAAAGTACCACCATTGTCCAAAGTACGTACTGTAGTACCTTTCGCAAAAGCCCCTAGTTTCTAGTTTTCGCACTAAGGAACTCTGTCTGAAGAGAATCGGGTCCCAACCCGGTCTGCTGGGATGCATATGCCCGCGATCGATCGACGCTTATCTGGGATATTCCTAGGAGGAACACCAGATTTGCGTGTCTATAGGTACCTATAGGTACTAACTAATATGTGCTTCCGTGACTCGTGACTCCGTAGCCCTAACTGGAGTTAGAACCCGCGGAACCACCCCCGGTCAATAAAATGGTTCTCCCCGTAATTGTTTGTTTTTAGTTTGTTTCCTAGCATGTCCCTAATTGTGTAGCTCATCATTTCTATTCTCGACCTGTCGACTGTCCCCCACCACAGATCCACTTAACACTCCTGTCGAACCTGTCTGCTGGGCCGTGTCTGCCCCGTCTTTCGTTCTTTTGCAACACGAGTCTACCAGGCGATCGCACAAAATGTAAATTCAATTTCAAATTTACTTCCCCTACCGTACCTACCTAGGTACCCTTAGGAAATCGATGTCACCCAATTGCAACCCCCCGATGTCTGCGATCGCGATCTTCCTGCGCAAACCATCCGGGATCGCCTTCGCCTAAATAGCCATGCGAGATGCGTAGATCGTACAATGGACAGCTCCCCTTCTTGACCCTTGTCTTTATTCTACCTACAATTCTTGTAAAAAAAAATCAATTTTATTTTCTCACGCATCCATCGCATCACTTCGCAGCATCTCCTTTCTCCTTTCTTTCCTTTTTCCATTACCCTCCCCTCCCCTGCCCTGCACTCTGCATTCTGCACTCCCTGAACAATCGGGTAGGTGCGTCATCGGCATTTTGCAGCGATTTTC